CTACTGAATCGGACTGTTAAACACAACTACGCATCTTTTAACCTAACCTTATTCAGATAATATTTCTCTATCTCTAGATAAAGCATTTCATCAAAATAATGATTTTCAGTCAATTAACAAAAATATGAAAGTTACAAAAATATCTGTCCTAATTACTTCAAACCTCTTTTAAACTCCAAAGCAACTATTTACCCAACATTTTTTTTTTAATAAATTAATGAAGAAATTCGTTCGAGAGAAAAATATTCATTGGAAATGTGTAACAAACGAAAACGCATTTCTTATTTTATTATCTTAAATAAATTGCGTTCCAAAATATATTCCCAGAAGTTGGTTGGTTGCTTTGTTTACTTTGTCTGTTGCGATAATCGTCTAATAAGCTTTGGCAAAGCTGCTTCGAAATGTTTGCGGTTTACCGACTAGGAAAACGATTTGCCAAAGCAGAACGTGTTGTTGTGGTTACAGAATTCCAATGTTTTCTATTTTTTTTTTTTTTTTTGGTTATTTAAAAATATATTTCAAGAATTATTTTCATGGTGTATTATCCCTCTCTTTCTTGAGCAGTTTGTAGACTTAATGTTGTTAGATTTAAATAAATCTGTGGTCTTAACTAATTCCCGTTTACAAAATCAAGGATATTTTTTTGTCCTTTGCCATTGCAGCGACAGATATTCATGTTTGGTACAGACCATGACTGACAAGCGTTCATACAAATTTCATGAATATCCATAACTTGGAATGGAGATACACGCCATTCTTTATTTCCTGTTTCTTTCCCTTTCGTAGTGAGAGGGTACATTGTTGTTATGGTTTTCGAATATTTATTGTCGCAGTCCTTTCCACTTAAATCGTGGCAACTTTCATTTCAGTTTATTTATTACGAGTTGAATAACTTTGATGACAATTATGCTCATCAAAGGCAATTAGTAATGTTCCGCAATATTAAAATTGGTTGCCGGGGGTAAATTATGAGGGTTAGGGAAGAAAATTTTCAGGATACAATGGCTAATGGGAAAATAAAAAAATATTCAAAGCCATATTTTTGTAATTGTATGTATTCCGTTAAAAAAAAAAGAAATTTCCTTTGATTTTAAGGTAATATTTAACAAACCCATTTTCTCACTCGTATTTATAGATGCTTCTCTAAGCATGGTAATTTCGTGAATTATAATTTAGGTTATTTCCCAATATGCCAATGCAATGTGAACTACGGTTATTCACCAAAGCACTTACACAAACAAACGAATGCATATAAACAACAAGGGAGACAGTACATATAAATACGAGTGAGGGAGAGGGAACGATTAATAATGACAATTATGCCCAATTAGTAATGTTCCGCAATATTAAAACTGGTTACTGGGGTGAATTATGAGAGTTAGGCAAGAACATTTTCAAGATGCAATGGCTAATGGGAAAATAAATTAATGTAATATTCAAAGTATGACATATCATTTCCCAGTAGTTCAGATATTAAACCAATCCATTTCCTTATGCCCTGTTTTGAACAGAAGTTCATTTCAATGTGGTATTTCTGATTTGGCCCAAAATAAAACAAGTAAAAAAGCGGTTTTAATGCCATCCACCATTTTGACGAATCTTAAATAATTTCAAAAAAATTCCGTCGAAAAATACCACTTATATGAAAACCGTTATATGGGGGATATGGACCGCATAGACAATTTTCTAGCATAGGAAGGTGGGGGATATACGATATCGGTGAGATGAAAAAAAAAACTGCAACCAACTTCAGACTGCTTTCATTTCAAAGCCACACGTCCGACCATTCTTAAAATTATTCCAGTGCTAGCTCATTATATTGTTTACAAGCGTACCAAAGCATTTTGGTGAGAATTTTCCAGAAAAAAAAAATTCAAGCGTGATGCAATTCAAGCGTGATAGTGTGATTTCTTGATATTTGGTTGGAAAACCGGCTATCGTTAGAGCACTCCAGCATTTAAACGTGAATAAATCTTTTGTGTGTCGTATCATCGCTCGTTACCGATTACGTGGTACTGGTAGCGGAAGAAAACAGCAACATCAGCAGAAATGCTTCGAAAAGTAAAGAAGTGACTTGATCTAAAACCGCGTTGCAGTGGCCAAAAAATGGCTCGTGAGCTGAACATATCGCTTTATTCCATACGGCAAATATTAAATGACTGAAAAATGAGCTCGGGCTAAAGCCATTGAAATTCCAAAAAGTGCAAGAACTTACACCGCAACAGAAAGGAAATAGACTCAAAGAGCTAAGGAGTTGCTTCGCTTGGCCAAAAGTAGTGAACTGCCGAATTTTGTTTTCTCCGATGAGAAAACATTCATTGTCCAGCAGTTTGTACACAAACAAAATGATCGTGTTTACTTGACAAAGAGGTCAGCTGAAAATGTGCACCTTCGGTTGGCCACCAGAACTCAAGCCAACTCAGGCCATGGTGATGGTGTGGGCCGCCATAACAGCCGATGGTTGCTCTCCGCTCGTATTAATCCACCGTGGCATCAGAATAAATGCCAAATACTACCTCGAAAATATTCTGGAGGGTGTATTAAAGCCTTGGCCACGCAAACATTTTGGCCGCAGACCTTGGACATTCTAACAGGACTCAGCACCATCGCACTCAGCACGTGCCACCCAAGAAAGGTTACAAAATAAGGTCCCCCGCTTCATTTCCAGCGCACAATGGCCACCAAAATCTCTGGATACCAATCCGTTGGACTATTGTGTCTGGAGTATTTTGGAAAACAAGGTTGGCACTAAAAATAACCAAGGTGTCAATCACCTCAAGCAAGCGCTTCGCCGGGAATGGGCCAAAATAGCGCAGAGCAACAGTCGGGCAGCGTGTGACCGTTTGAAGGCTATAATTGGCCGTTTGAAGGCCATAATTCATGCCAAAGGTGACACATTCGAACAAATCTAAACTCATTCTAAAATTTGATGCTATTTCCGACATTTTTTGCTTGCATTCAATAAAATTTAAAAAAAATGTAAAAATTATGGAGTTTGACTTTGATGCAGTTTTTTTATCTCACCCTGTATAGACAATTCTCTTCCAGGTTGTAAAGTATTCAAAAAGAACTCCTGATGTGGATTTTCATTTTTTTTCACTATTCCATTAAAAAACTTAGCTACAATCATCAAAATACCGAATATCGGGAGATATCATTGTATGGGGACTAACGATATCGGGGACCTATATAAAAAATTCTCTTTCAGGGGATAAAGTACTCAGAGGGAACTCCTTGTGTGGATTTTCTGACAAGTCCATTGAAAAATGTGCCAAAAATCATAAAAATACCGAATATCGGGGGTACAGTTGTATGGGGGCCATACAATAGCTTCCTGTCTTAATTTGTTTTGAATCTGGAGTGATTACAACAGACAGACATACGGACAGGTCTCATCGTCTCAGAATTAGATCGTCTTAGAATTTTACGCTGATCAAGAATATATCAGCTTTGTTGGGTCTAAAATTATTATTTCGTTGAGTTACAAACGGAATGACGAACTTAATATACCCTCCATACTATGCATGATGGAGGGTATTAACATCAAAGTCAAGAGACCTCTTATGTAGCTGCGATTGATTCGACTCCAGTTTTCTCTGCTATTTGTAGATTTCCAGGACTGCATTATTGAATACGGGGGCTTCTCTGGAGCACCAGAGTTCGACACAATAGTCGATGTAATCAATTTTGTCCCATCCAAGAAAGAAATCTCGATCCTGAAGGAGTCCATATACGTCTTGAGAAGAAACTATATTTGTAAAGTTTCCATCGACATCCATCTCCCAGATTTCTTAGCGGTGATGGCGAGAATAATTCACAGCAGAGAATAATTTAGTCATCAAGGAATAGGTGCCTGTTTCTGGGTCGGTTGCTGGGAGATTTCCGAATTCAAGAGATTTCTTAAGTAGCTGCGCATGATTCTTTTTAAGTTTATTTTGACAGAGGTCATCTGCGCTAAATATCTTCCTCCGCTTGGAGAGCCTCAAAAAAGGTGTTAATCTGAGTCTTGTGTCCTTTTTCATAGGGACGTGGTCCGTAATAAATTGAAAAACCATAAAAAAGGAATCTTGATATCAAAAGACCTCGTAGGCAGCTGTGAATAATAAATTTAAAATATATTGAGACAGGGATCCTTTTTACCATCCCATTTTCTCCTTTTCCTAGATTTCATTATTAAATAGAGGGGGCTTCTCAGGTGGTCAGAGATCCACACCGTACTTGGCGTTATCAATGTGGCCCTATCCAAGAAAAAAATTCCGATCGTGAAGTGGCCTCTGGTAGAAAAGTTTCTTTTCTGGGTCTATATATACTTGACAAGAAACGATGTCGTGCAAGTCTCCATCAACTTCCATCTCCTAGATTTCTTTGTAGGCTGGGCGAGAATACTTCACATCAGTACTTTCGGGTCGGTTGCTGAGGGAGTTCTGAGTTTTTCTTAAGTAGCAGCGCATGATTCGTTTAAAGTTTGTTTTGACAGGGGTCTCCTGCACTAAATCTCTCCATCCGGAGAGCCTCACAAAAAAAGTTAATCTGAGTCTTGTGTCCTTTTTCATAATGATTCTGCAACCGTGTCTTGTTAATGCAGAACTGGATATTCGATTTTCCCGGTCCCCAATCCAATCAGTTCGTTCCTTCTGTGTTCTGGTTAAGTCATATGTGGGTGGAATGACTAATAAATAAACGCGACTTCGAAGTTTCAATTATGAAAAAATTCGATACAGCGAGAGCCGATATACTTTTTCATGATCGAACGAAATTCACCATAGCATCATATCCATCCGCTTAGTTCAATTTAGGCATATTCTCTCCAACATTTCGGCCGGTGTCTCATGAATATATGTTTCAATGCAGAGTAGATAGGGGCCCAGACTTCAAATTTGACTCCGTCTCTGGAAGAAAAATAAGACGTTAAAAGGGGGGTTTCAATATTTCTTTTATTTTTACCAACCTTCTCCTCAGGTACTAACTCCCTTTCCGCTTTCCATCTTTTTATTCTCCAGGGTGCCATTGAAATTGTCAAGCTAATGTTTTGCATGCAACCGGAAGAGAAAGCGGTCTGTCTCAGCCGTACCGATGTTCAGAAGATGACACCCTTGCATTGTGCCTCAATGTTTGATCATCCGGAAATTGTCGAGTACTTGGTTAAGGAGGGAGCCGACATCAATGCCTTAGACAAGGAACATCGATCACCGTTAATGTTGGCCGCATCGAGGGCTGGTTGGAAGACGGTACACGTTTTAATACGCTTGGGCGCCAACATCAGCATCAAAGATGCCTGTTCACGTAATGTCCTACATTTGGTCATCATGAATGGGGGTAGTTTACAGGAATTTGCCGAAGAGGTATCAAAGACCCAGTCACAGGCTCAATTGGAACAGTTGTTGAATGAGAAGGACAATACGGGATGTTCACCGTTGCACTATGCCAGTCGCGACGGGCATATACGTTCGCTGGAGAATCTAATACGTTTGGGTGCCTGCATCAATCTCAAGAACAACAACAATGAGAGTCCATTGCATTTTGCCGCCCGCTATGGACGTTATAACACCGTCAAACAGCTGCTCGATTCGGAAAAGGGTTCTTTCATAATCAACGAAAGTGATGGTGAGGGTTTGACACCCCTGCATATTGCCTCGCAGCAGGGTCACACCAGGGTGGTTCAGTTGCTGTTGAATCGTGGAGCCCTGCTGCACAAGGATCACAACGGCAGGAATCCTCTTCAATTGGCAGCTATGTCGGGTTATACCGAGACCATTGGCCTATTGCATTCGGTGCACTCTCATCTGCTGGATCAGGTGGATAAGGATGGGGTGAGTGGATTTTTAAAAAGGCTTTGTTTTTGTTGTTTTATTTATTTTTCTCGTCCTTTTCCTTTTTTCCAGAACACTGCCCTCCACTTGGCCACCATGGAAAACAAGCCTCGCGCCATTTCAGTATTGCTCTCAATGAACTGTAAACTGCTCTACAATCGCATGGATCTGAGTGCCATCGACTATGCAATTTACTATAAATATCCGGAGGCAGCATTGGCCATGGTTACCCACGAAGAGCGAGCCAACGAAGTCATGTCCTTAAAATCGGACAAACATCCGTGCGTGACACTGGCATTGATAGCATCGATGCCCAAAGTGTTTGAAGCAGTCCAAGATAAATGCATAACAAAGGCAAATTGTAAAAAGGATTCCAAGAGTTTTTATGTGAGTATGTTGTTGTTATTGTCCGTTTATAGTGATGTGTTTGTCCAGGACAACTGGGTGTAACTATAATTTATAATATGGCTGCTCCAGCCATAGATCTGGTGGACAATTGTGGCAATATTTGGTTAGAATGTCGTGTCTACCTCAAATTAAAGACTTTGCCTGACATGTTCAATAGTAGAATCAGGCAAAAACAGGCACGCGTGCTCTTTACTGTGTGTCATTCTCTTCATACTCACAATCATACCCGTTGAAAAACTATTTACTCAAAGAGTAATTAAATTGAGAGAACATAAAATTGCCACTCTTTGCCCGATCCCGTTCTACAGTAGCAAAACATAAAATATAGCAACAAAGCTCTTTAATATATTTTTCTCTTATCTTTCTCCCTCTCTCTTCCTTCTCTTTACAGATTAAGTATTCATTTGCCTTTTTGCAATGTCCATTCATGTACGACGACATGGATGAGAAAAACGGTGAAAATGCCATACCATTGCCGGCCTTAAATGTAAGTGTTGACACCTTAAGAGAAAAAAAAAACAAAAACTATGAACACAGAAATATTATTCCTCCAACTTTATCTTGAAGTTTTTAGTTAATTAGTTCCATGTTTGTTTGCCAGAGTATTTTTCTGTTCTCTGTGCGTTTTTTATTTCTTCAATTTATGAAAATGTTAAATTGTAATTACACTTGTCAGCAGTGCAGAATAATGCCAAGTGAGAAATGAGAGGAAACTTGTCAAGTTTTTTTTGTCAGCAAAAAAAAATGGAAGTTTATCTTGTGGACATTGGGAAATAAAAACAAGTTAAAAAATATCAGTCGGTTTTGTCGACAGACGTATACCCTCAGCCAATGTTCGATTATTCAAAAATATTTTGACTTCTGTTATGATTATTTAAATTATTGACTGGACCAATATTGTCCACTTCGAAACGGACCGAAATAAATATGATTTAAATATTGCGACGTGTTAGGTTTGGACTATATCGACTACTTCCTACACTTTATAAGAGATATGTGATAATTTTTATCACATTTATTTATTTAGCTTTCTTTGAACGTTTTGTTTTTCAAAATCTTGAACCCTATGTGGGGGAGGTGCCAGAAGAAATGGTCCCATCTCTGCCATTTTTATAACAGATCTTGTGTTGATGGAAATATTGAGATAAACCAAGACTGGAAGGGAATCGGATGTTAATTTCGCGTTTTATGAGCTTCATGGATATTCAAAATGTTTACCCTTTTTTTGGGGGGAGCTACCAGAAGGAGTGGAATGCTATATCCCATCCTCACACCAGACCTTGGATTAATAAAAAATATTGTGATGTGTGTAATTTGAAGGAAATCGGACTCTGATATCACATTTTATAAAGGTTATAATTATTCACAGTTCTGACCCTTTGTGGGGGAGGTACTTGATGGAGTGGACCGATTTTGGCAATTTTCGACCTGACCTTTCACTAATGCAAATATTAGGATTTGCAAAGTTGCAGCAAAATCGGATTATCCTTTCTCTTTCTGTGCAGATGGAAGGACATCGACTCCAAATGTCCTGAAATGAATTTGGTCCAAAGAGACCTAGGGCCTAAAACAGTTATTTCGATGAGGCACGTTTTGCCCGTATCAAATGATATGCAACCTCTCTAGTCATATGGCTGAGGGTGTAACCGGTAACCTTTTCTAAGTCCTTTACTCCTACCATGAGAAGACATTTTGGACCTTCTTCCAGTCTTCTATGGTAAGAATTCTTTCTGGTCTTCTATGAAAAGCCTCTTCAGGTATTCTATGAGAAGACTTTTTCAGGTATTCTATGAGAAGACCTTCTTTAGGTAATCTATGAGAAGACCTTCTTCAGGTTTTCCATGAGGAGACCTTCTTCTGGGCTTCTATGAGAAGACTTCCTTCAGGTCTTCTATGAGAAGACCTTCTTCAGGTATTCTACGAGAAGACTTCCTTCAGGTCTTCTATGAGAAGACCTTCTTCTGGTCTTCTATGAGAAGACCATCTTTTGGTCTTCTATAAGAAAGAAGAGTTCTGGTCATCTTTGAAGAGTTTCTGGTCATCTTCTAGAAGAGTTTCTGGTCATCTTTGAGAAGACCTTCTGGCCACACCAAAGGCCAGAAGACCTTCTGGTCTTCTATAAGAAGACCTTCTGGTCTTCTATAAGAGGACCTTCTGGTCTTATATAAGAAGATCTTCTGGTCTTCTATAAGAAGACCTTCTGGTCTTCTATAAGAAGAACTTCTGGCGTTCTATAAGAAGACCTTCTGGTCTTCTACAAGAAGACCTTCTGGTCTTCTATAAAAATACCTTCTGGTCTTCTATGAGAAGACCTCTTTTGGTCTTCTATGAGAAGAACCTTTGGTCTTCTATGAGAAGACCCTTTGGTCTTCCATAAGAATCTTCCTTATGAGAAGACCTTCTGGCCTTCTTTGAGGAAACTTCTGGACTTCTTTGAGAAGACCTTCTGGCCTTGTTTGAGAAGACCTTCTTGCCTTTTTTGAGAAGACCGTCTGAGCTTCTTTGATGAGACCCTCTGTAAGGAGACCTTCTTCTTTGAGAAGAGCTTCCGACTTTCTTTGGGAGAACATTCTGACCCTCTTTGAGTTTTCTTTGAGAAAACCTTCGACTCTTTTATGAGATAAAATAAGATAAAGTATTCTCATGAAAGACCAAAAGGTACAGACAGTTTTCTTTTTAAAGAGCAGAGAAGAAGATCACAATGTTTTCTTTTTACATTAGACCAGGAGGTCTTGTAGACGACCTGAAAATTTTTTGGTAGAAGACCAAGTCTTCTTCGAAAAGGCAAAAATGAAGAAGAAAACTTTGTCTTCTACCAAAAGATTTTCGGGTGCATGTAATGGACCGCTCAATTGGACTATTTGGCCTATTTTTTGTGGGGTTATTGGTAAAGCTCATGTCTACACAGACGAGCCAACTTTAATGTGCGCATTGGAAGACAACATTGAATCATTTTTATGTGGGATACCGACCGAAATGTTGGAAAGAATAAGCTAAAATCGGAATAAGTGGATGAATTATATGAGGCGTAGTCGCGGTTAACATTTACATTAAATAATCGCCACTCGTTAAATTATATGGGTCGCACTAGCAATCTAAAATAAAATAAATAAATAAGAAAAAACAGCTAAGTTTGAGAAGGATTTGGAGGGAATTTTAAAAAAATCAAAAACTCGCGGTTTACATTTACATTAAATAATTGGAAGGAATTTTAAAAAATTCAAAAAGACCCTTAAAAAAATCCTCTTAAATTAAAACCGTTATATGGGACCTATACGAAGACATGGTATACGAAGACCGATTCTGATCTTCAAATAAGAAATTTGAAATAATTCGGTTAATAATGTCGCTAATATCATCGAAATACCGAATAAGGGGAGGTGCTGTTATATGAAGGCTATAGGGAGACGGTGGACCTGCAAAGACAATTTTCCGACATAGGTTGTAGTACCTATTACGAACATCAAATACGAAATTTGAAACAATTCCGTAGAATAATGTCGCTAAAATCATTAAAATACCGAATATTGGGAGGTATCGTTATATGGGGCCTCACGATGACGTGGACCGACATGGCCGATTTACATTCTTCTTCTTTTCTACCAGACGAAATTTCTCCATTTTCATAAGAAGTCTTCTTTTTGGCCCTGCTTGTTGCGGCTGCCATTTAAGCCATTTCTCTGGCACATTTCAGCCGAAAATGTCGACAGTTTAAAGTATGTCCTTCAAAATGAATGGCAGTAAAAAAAAAACCGAAAATTGTTTCCAACTGAGAAGATGGCAAAAAATTCTGCCCCACAAGTCCATACCAAAAAAAATACATTTTCAACGAAAAGTGTGCACACTCACTCAACCCCAATTGTGATAGACACTTAAACTTGGCCGGATAATAAAACTTATGCAAAACTGAATTTAGCAAAAAAAAAAAGGATGACAACGACAACAAAAAGATTTGACCACAATGCTTTGTTAAATGAAAAAATAACAACATTGAGAGACTTTTTTTCTCCTTTTATCTACATTCTTTGTTGAATATTTTTGCAACAAATGCAAGCGATGTAAAACTTCCTAACCCTCCTCTGAATCTTGTCATGGAAAGAAGCAGTGCAATAACTTGGTGACAACTGCCTTTAGCCATGATTGAGTGGATGTATCTATGTCTCTCTCTCTCCCTCTGTGTGTGTTTGAGAAGAGAATAAGCAAACCAAGAAAAAAGTGACGTTATGCACCATCATCTTTTCAATGACCGCTGTCATTTTCTTGGCTATGTTAGCCAGAAGTTTGCTTGACCAGCATTGAAGTTCGTTTTTTTTTTTTTTTTGCTTATTCTTCTGCTGTGGAGTGTCCAGTATCCAGTAATCCAATGATGTTCGCAATCATGTTCATTTATCCAATGGTCCTTCTGGAAAATTTGTTGTATTTGTTTCCCCCCCGGTTTAAATGATGTGTAGTTTCCCTTGAGGCATTTCCTTTAGTTGACCACCCCACCCCATAAAGGGAGTGTATATGGTTTGGAAGACAAATATTTGAAATAATGTGGAAATTATAATTTTCATTTCGAAAGAACAATTAAGAAAGGAAGCTGAGAGAAATTAATGTTTGGAATATTTAAATAAGGATTGGTTTGAAATATTGGCAAATTTAAATGAAGATACAGAAAATATTAAGAAACCAGTAAAGAAAGTCTTAAAGTCGGGCGGGGCCGAGCTTCATGATCTCTCTCCTGCATTGAGATAACACTGCGTTTTTTCCTCTCACCATTAGCCCCTCCGTATAATACAGCTTGCACTTCCTATCGCCCCTATCCTCCCTTCCTATCTTTATTAATTCCATCTGATTGATGGATGTAAGAAACGTCATTCCAAATTTAAAAAATCAAAATCTACCCCTTGCCAAAATTCAAAATATCCAACTCCACATCCATATATCAACTGCCAAATTTTACACTTCACACCATTTTTCTTTCCCAAATACCAAATTTAGTATCATTTAGTATTTTTTGGGGGGCGTATTTCCAAAATCCACTCCAAATTCTCAACCCCACACACTAACAGTGCGGGTCACATTTGGGTGAGATATGGAGGGATTTGTACTTTACGTTTACGAAACGTAATAAAATCAGCCTTAACTTTCGAAAAAATTAAGACCCTCCGCCATAGTACGGGGAGTATATTAAGATTTTCATTCCGTAACACCTCGAAATATACATTTTAGACTCGACAAAGTATATAAGTATATGGTATAAGTATATAAGTATATATTCCTGATCAGCATAAAGTTCTGTGTCGATTTAACGATGACCGTCCGTCCGTCTGTGGAAATCACTTTAGCTTCTGAACGAATTGAAGTAGGTTGATAAAATTTTACTCAAATGTGTGTTTGGTCTGCAAGACTTTTGGTATTGCAAATGGGCTATATAGGTCTACGTTTAGGTATAGCCCCCATATAATTGTACCTCCCTATATTCGGTATTTTGATATTTTTGGCGACATTGTACACCAGAATTGTTTCAAATTTGGCATTTGAAGATGGTAATGGATACTACAGCCTAGGACAGAAAACTGTTTGTGCAGGTTCATGTCTTCGTATAGCCCTAATATAAGTGTACCTCCCCATTTTCTGTATTTTGATGAATTTAGCGAATTTATTCGCCGGAATTGTTTCAAATTTGGTATTTGAAGTTCGTAATGGATACTACAGCCTTAGACAGAAAATTGTATGTGCAGGTTCACGTCTTCGTATAGCCCTAATATAAGGGTACCTCCCGACAATTGGTATTTCGGTGATTGTAGCGACATTATTCACCGGAATTATTTCAAATTTCGTATTTGAAGTTCCCAATTAAAACTACAGACTATGACAGAAAATTGGCTATGTAGGTCTAGGTCTTCGTATAACCCCCATATAATGATACCTCTCTATATTCGGTATTTTGATGATATTAGCGATATTATTCACCGGAATTGTTTGAAATTTGGAATTTGAAGTTCCTAATGGATGGATACAGCCTAACCAAAAAAATTGTCTGTGTAGGTTTACGTCTTCGTATAGTCCCAATATGACGGTATCTCCCGATATTCGGTATTTTGACGATTTTAGCTACGTTATTCACCGGAATTGTTTCAAATTTCGTATTTGAAGTTGCTAATGGGTACTACAGCCTGTGACAAAAAATTTCCTATGACGGTCCAGGTCTTCGTATAGCACTCATACAACGGTACCTCCCGATATTTGTTATTTTGGTGATTTTGGTGCATTATCCACCGGAATTGTTTCAAATTTGGTATTTGAAGTTGGCAATGGATACTAAAGCCTTTGACAGGAAATTGTCTGTGCAGGTTCATGTCTTCGTACAACCCCAATATAAGGGTACCTACCGATATGTGGTATTTTGATGATTTCAGCTACATTATTCACCGGAATTGATTCAAATTTGGTATTTGAAATTCGTAATGGAAAATTGTTAATGCAGGTCCATTTCTTCGTATAGCCCTCTATATTCGGTATTTTGATGTTGGTGCGACACTCTTCACTGGAATTGTTTCTAGTTTTGAATTTGAATATTGTAATGGCCTATGACTAAAATTGGACAACCACCTTTTCGTATAGACTTCAATATAATGGTATCTCCCTATATTCTGTATTTTTTTTAAATTCCAAATTCGTTCTTAATTTAGTGCTGTTTTATTGTTATACCCTATACCACAAGACAAAAGGAAACTAGATAGAGGCATAGTTGCTTTTGATGATCTGCATAGAATAACATTCTGAGTCGATTTATGCATGTCCGTCCGTCCGTCTGTCGAAGTATTTTTGTAAACAAAGTACAGTTCGCATTTATTGGCCTATCCAGATGTAATTTTGCACAAATCATTTGTTTGGCCCAAGGACGAACCCTATTGAAATTGGAGATAATCGGTCAAAATTTAGATATAGCTCCCATATATATCTTCGTCCGATTTGCCTTTTATTGTGCACCAAAGGTGTAATATCAGTCCGAAGAGTATGGAATTTTGCACGTACGATCAGTTTGGACCTGAAAATAAGTATGCCAAATTTGATCGAAATCGGTTCAGATATAGCTATAGCTCCCATACAAATTGTTCATCCGATTTGTTATTTTTGTCCTCCGCAACCATAATATGCACTCTATAAGAACAATATTTGGGGAAATTTATCAAATACAGCTCAGAAAAACATTAGCTAAATTTTATCGAGATCGGTTCAGATTTGGATATAGCTCCCATATATAACTTCGTCCGATTTACCTTTTCTTGTGCACCAAACGTCTAATATTTGTCCAAATGGGATGAAATTTGGCACTTACGACCGAATTGAGTCTAAAAGCTAGTATGTCAAATTTCGTGAAGATCGGTTCAGATATAGCTACAGCTCCCATATATATTGTTCATCCGATTTGTTATATTTGTTACCCAAAGCCGTAATATGCAGTCCGTAACAACGATATTCAGGGTAATATATCAAATACAGCTCAGAAATATCTTTGCCAAATTTTATCGAGATCGGTTCCAATTTGGATATAGCTCCCATATATATGTTTATCCGATTTCAAATTGATTGTGCACCAAATGGGCAATATAAGTCCGAATTTAAAAGATACAAATACTTCTCCATATTTAGTCTTTTGAACTTTAAATTAGAATTATAATCATAACGTGTATGATTGAATTCTCCCATAAAAACTTTTAATTGTTATGCGGAGCTCTACTAAATTAGCAAAGTGATGTAGGGTATCATAAAGTCGGTCCCGCCCGACTTTAAGACTTTCTTTACTGGTTTTTTTATGTTTTTATCATGTCCGGTACTTTAATTTAAATTATTGACATTGAATTATTCCTCCCTCAGACTATGGTAAATCATGGACGTGTCGAACTTCTCGCCCATCCGCTGAGTCAAAAATACTTGCAGATGAAATGGAATTCCTATGGCAAATATGTGCATTTGGCCAATTTGCTGATCTATTCCATATTTCTGTTATTCGTAACCATCTACTCGTCCCTGATGATGAACGGTGTAAAGGTGCAAAATCGTCCGCCTAGTGAGGGCTTCAATTACAGCAGCTTTAAGTAAGTATTTTAACATTTTTCCAAATCAAAATATTAATCACTCTCTCTCTCTCTCTCCCACCTTAGCTGCTCGGTCAACTTCACCGGCCGACCATCGAATGACAGCTGGTATCAGGAGTGTTTCGAAAGTATTGAACATTCACCGGCCATTGTATTTTGCGCCTTTGTCATAATTGCCTACATCATCGGCTTTTCGTTCAAAGATCTATTTCAAATCTATCAACAGCGTCTGCATTATTTTCTGGAAACCATTAACATTATCCAATGGATCCTCTACATATCAACATTGATTATGATCTTGCCCATTTTCAAGTCGGACAGTAGCATTACAAATGTCCACTATTCCGCGGCATCGATATCGGTATTTTTCTCGTGGTTTCGTTTGCTGTTGTTTTTGCAGCGATTTGATCAGGTGAGTAGTTTACGGATTTAATAACGGAAAATTCTATGGGGAAAAAAATCAAATTCTTAAAGAAAACCTGAAGGAAAAGGCTTATTTTAATCCTTCACAATTCTTCAGAGTTGTATGAGTCCCGCCAATTACTTTAAGAAACTTATATTACTAATTAAAGAAAATAACCCTCATTTTTTATAGGTGGGAATATATGTGGTCATGTTCCTGGAGATCCTTCAAACCCTGATCAAAGTCCTATTGGTATTCTCAATACTGATAATTGCTTTTGGTTTGGCTTTCTATATCCTGTTGTCGAAGGTACGATGTTTACAAATTAAGACTAATCTAAGGAGGTGAATAATATTTCAAATTATTTTTCTTCCAGATCATAGATCCCCAACCAAATCATTTGAGCTTTTCCAATATACCCATGTCATTGCTGCGAACCTTTTCAATGATGTTGGGTGAACTGGACTTTGTGGGAACCTATGTCAATACCTATTATCGTGATCAATTAAAAGTTCCTGTAACATCATTTTTAATATTGGGTAAGTCGGAAAATGTCGCAAATTGTTAACCAATAATTCTTAAGGTTATTCAAAGTCTTCTATACACGTTATAAAGGATCAGTCAGTTTTCCCGAAAAATGTATACCCTCAGCCAATTTTCGATTATTTAAAAATATTTTGACTTCTGTTATGATTATTTAAATTGTTGCCCCTCTATGGAGTAGGTTCCGGAGGAAATAACCAATATTGCCCATTTCGTATCGGCCCTAAATAAAAACAAGTTATATATCGGTTTTACCGACAGATGTATAACCCCCAGCCTAGAGTTATGATTATTCTAACTGTTGACCCTTTAAGGGGGAGATTCCGAAGCAGTTGGCCAATATTGACCAATTCGATTAATTACATATTCATATCAGATTTCTTGCTGAGGGAAATATTTAGATATAGAATCGCCGGCATGTTTCGAAAGTAATGACAGATATAAGTATTGGAAATTGTGACCCTTTGTGGTTGAGGTACCAGAACGGGTTTGTCAGATATCTATCATCCTCACAACAGATCTTGTGTTAGCAAAAATGTTCGGATGTGTGAAATTTGAAGAGAATTGGATGCTTTTTTAAAGGTTTATAAGCGGCTTGGTTTTTAAAACTTTGAACCCATTATGGGGGAAGTACAAGAAGGAGTGCGCCTAAATATCCCATTTCTACAGCGGATTTTGTGTTAGTAAAAATAATGACATCTGTGAAATTTGATGAGAACCAGATGCTTATTTAAGATTTTATGTTCGTTTTGGTTATTCTAAACTTTGACCCTTTACAGGGGAGGTAACAGAAGAAATGGTCCGATCTTTACCATCTTTATAACATATATAGTGTTGATGGAAATATCGAGATGTACCAAGTGTACCAAGGAATCGAATAATAATTTCGCGTTTTATGAGTTTCATGAATATTCAACATTTTGACCCTTTGTGGGATAGGTACCAGAAAAAGTGGACCGATATATTAAATCTTCGCAGTAGATCTTGTGTGAGTAGAAATAATGTGATGTGTGGAATATGAAGAGAACCGGATGCTTATTCCGGATTTTATGATCGTTTTGGTTATTCAAAACTTTGACCCTATGTGGCGGATGTACCAGAAGAAATATGCCGATATATTCCATCTTCACACCAGACCTTGGATCAATCAAATCAAAATAAAATATGAAAAAGGATTTTATGAAACAAAATTTATGACATTTTAATTATAAAATAATTTGATAAATTTTGAGTTTACACTACAAATCTCTTCTAATAATGAAATTTTGATTTAGAACACTTAATCCTATAACACTTTTTCAAAAAAAAAGAAAAAGAATTAATTAATTAAAGATTGATTTTGACTTAGGGTAAAAACGTTTGAAATTAACAGTCAGTACCTTCGACATCAAATTTGCCCTTTTAATATACACATTTCGAACGTAATTTTCTCAAAACATATTGTATCTAGATATATAATATATTCTAAGACTTATTAATTGCAGGGGATCCGTAGAAATGTTTTCTTAAAAATTACACGCGTTTGGTGCTGGAAGACCTTGTAAAATATATTCTTAAAAAATCCATGCCGATAAGTACAGAAATACCAAAAATGTTCAGTCAGAAGGTATTTTAAAATTTTTTCTCAATAAATCCATGATCTTCGTCAAAATGTTTTTCTTAAGAATACGTTTTGCACAGGAAGATTGTGTAAAATTAAAAAAAGTATGATCAATATATATCCGAGAAGTCTCTTAAAATGTATAAACAGATTTACATTGTTTTATTCATGATCGGTTGTGCTCGGAGAGTAGGAAATTAATGTGAGGGTACACGCGATTTACTTCTTAAAAAAAAAACACGAAAGAGTCGAGAGTAGAGAGAGTGAATCGAGTTGAAAAAATTATTGTATTTGATGTTCTGTACGTTATTGTAGAATCTGCTGGTTTGAACCCTCACTCGAAAACAAGCAAATCCTACTCGATCTCATTCAATACTAAAAATAAGTATACTATATTTCAATTTTTTTACTTGGAGTACTTTCGTTCGTTCATGGCAATTCGCAGCCATGGCCTGAGTTTCGGCCAGGAGGTTCTTAAAATGTTTACTTAAAAATTAACAGTTCCTGTCTATGAAGGCTTGTATTAATTGAAGTCCTTGAAAAATATTTTTAAAGCTACAAGATTTTTGGCACGGAAAAATATAATGCAAATTGGACTAAATCGGAGACATCGTTTGCATTATACAAGATTTGTAATTTTTCTAAAATTTAACTTCTTCCAGAATGAAAACTAATTATAACCATTTGTAAAAAGATAGAAGAAAGAATGAATCCATATACACTGGTGGCCAAAACTAAAGCAACTGAAATTACAAGGAGAATGAATGCCCTGTAACTTTTTGAAAAATTAAGAAAATGAGAAAGTTTTTCTTGTTTTAAATTAGGTACTTTATTCACTTTTTAAAAACCTAAAACATAAAACCAAAATTCATTTTTATATAAAAATTAATGTTTGGTAAAGTCAATTAACCCGATTTTGGCTTGGACAAAACAAAAGCAACTCTGTTGTACATTCATATAACCGCTGCAATTTCAGTTGTTTTTACTGTGATATTTATCGCTTTTTGCTTCCTACGACAATTTCGCTTGTCATAAATGCTTTTTGAGAAGTTTTTTACAACAGTATGTGTTTTTCTTTTCGTTTTTAAAGTACTGCCCAAAAATTTTTAAAAATGGCTAAAAGCAAATACAGTACCTGAATAAAACAGCAAATTATCAGTGACTATCAAAACAACATATCACAGAAAATGATTTCCGAGAAATAATTCATAAATATTTATGTGATTTCATAATTATTTCTGTATACTAAGTCAGTTTTTTGAAACTGGATCAGTAGTAACAGTCTATAATGGATGAAGGCCGTGAAAAACTTCAGCCCGTACTGATCCACAAATTGTGAGAGAAATAAAAAAACAACCATTTAAGAATTCAACTGGATTGGTGAGAGAGCAATCATTGGATATAAGCTCGAGATCAGTGCGTAGACGAGTAGTGGCAGCTGGTCTGCATGCCCGTAAGACATCAAAAAACCATTTATATCTGAAAAATCAAAAAGGCTTTCGGAAACGATAATATTAAGTGGAATCAAGCTCAATGGAAAAAACATTATTTCTGGGATGAGTCTACGTTTAATATAAAAGGCTCAGACGTGAAAAATTTTACGGTGAGAAGACCAAAAAATGAAGAACTCAAGCCGCAGTGTTGCAAAGGTACAGTGAAGCATGAGGGAGGGTCAAAAATGGCGTGGCGCTATTTTTCTTTCTATGGACTTGGGTTCATCCATAAAATAAAGGAAGTTGTGGATCAGTTTGTTTACAAAGATGTGTTGGACATCACGTTGTTCCCTTACGCTGAGTAAAATATTCGGCTGATTTGGGTGTTTCAGCATGACAATGATCCCAAACTTGTATCAAAACTTGTCAAATATTGGTTGCGAGAGTCAAAAATTGATGTTTTGTTATGGCCGGCACAATCACCTGACCTAAACTCCATAGAAAACCTTTGGAGTATCGTAGATAGGAAGATCAAGCGAGATTCGTAAATAAATAAGCACAACTTTTTCTAAAGAATTCGGGGTGCCTGGGAAAGCACACCAATTGATCAAATTGAGCGTGTTATAGATTCAATGCCTCGTAGGTGTGCAGCTGCTATCAAAAATAATGGTTATGCTATCGACTACTAGCCCAAAATTTAATTATTTTAAAATAAAAAAATCAAAAGTTGCTTTAGTTTTGACCAAGCAAAAATTGGGTCATTTTAGTTTTCCACATATTATTTTCCGTTCAATATTATTTTTGTATTTTTATTTTTAGTTTCTTAAAAGTGAATTAAACCCCTCATTTAAAACTGGAAAAATAATTACGATTTGTTTATTTTTGTAAAAGTTACAGGACATTTATTGTCTTTGCGATTTAAGTTGCTTTAGTTTTGGCCACCAGTGTATACTCTATTTTCATATTAAGTCTAATTTGATATGAACTTACTTTACACGAGATGTACTGTTGACAAAAAAAAAAAAACTATGCGAAGTTTTAGAAAAATCAGACACTAACTTCATATCTTATGAGTCTTGATATTGCTAAATTTTTGATCTAGGAGGATAAAATTCGTATAAATAGACCAGAATCGGATACAAAATTAATCTTAAAGATGAACTTTTAATTATTTTATGATTGTATTCAAAATTTTTGTATAAACATTGTCTCAGAGAGCTCTTTAATCTAGATCATGTTGCGGTTTCAGAATTAGGTTTAATCTTTGACTTATAAAATTACACACATAATATTAAATAACTCTGAGATTCTCTGCTTACCTGTGAAATAGCTTAAATCCCTCTAGGAGAAGTGGCATCCATGACGATTTTATAATTTTTGATTACTTGAGTTTAAAGATTCATTCATGAAGTTCTTGCAACCGTTATCTGCTTCTTTTTGGATTTTGCATATTGCCAAAGATTGTTTTTTTTTTTGCTTTATTCCCAATTAAAATAGAAACAATCTATGAGTTTTCATTGTTCCAAGTCTTGTTGTTGTATGTTTTCGTCGAAGTTCTTGTAAACATTTCGATATAATTTATAGTTCCAAATGCTAATGGCGCCCAATCTTGTGGCATTAAATATCACATATGATGTCGGCTATATACCGTATTATTCCTCTAATAGGCAAAATTCGTATTCAGCTTAGAGTTGTGGAATAGTTAGTGTTGTTTAACAGCGTTCATGGATTTCTCTGAAGAATTTAAACATTTCCACGTTCATTAAGTTAAATCCGGGCTCATATCTTTCGTTTGTTTTTGGCCTCTCCCTTAAAATGTGTGCAGCACATACGACAAAGTTCACAATATTATCAATTGAGTGACTTGATTTATTCTCGTTCCAAATTTCACAAGGTTGCTCGAGAGGGTCACATCCTAAATGGGGGAAAAGAAAGACCTTAAAATTATTCCAAACAATTATCATAAACTACACTCACCGAAAGCGAACACTGCTGTTTTAGGAGGGATGACGTGGCGTGAAATTTGCTATTGTTGTTGCTGATATATTTGCTGATTTTGGCTCTGTTTCTAACTCAAAGATTCAAAAGGATGCGATCTGTATAAGTTGTGTTCATAGCGACTCTGGGGTTTGCTTCTATTAAAGAGGTTCTGCCTGCCTGTGTTCGATAAGTCTGTTGGTCCAGAGGCTCCTTTTTATATCTCTGAATCTCTCTGTTTAGATCATGAAGTTCTATGTTTATAACAACCAAGCAAGGATGGCATCGATAGCATTGTATTGTTCTTGTGCTTGAGTAAGATCTTCGCATTCTCATCATAACCGATAGGTGTTATGAGAATGTATTTAAGGATCTAAGAGTGGCATTCTGGCAAGAGAGATTACTTCTCCGTAGCTTACCATAGACCGACCTATCGATTTATAAGATATCAAGAAAGATTCCTTACCAGCTCCTGAAGTGCTGCCAGCAAGAGATTTGAGAACCTTGTTGCTATTGTAATATTATCGTAAGACTTGAACAAGAATTAAGGAACCATTAATCAACACTTTCGTAAAATTAGTAATTTCATTTTTGGGTTTGGGTCAATTCTCACTAGTCAGGGTTTGGATAGTCGGTTCGATATTTTTGCTGATTCGGTACCACGCTGTTTATATTTCGATCTATGTTTAATATTTCTTTCACATTCGCATTCCAGGCATCTTCATGATTCTAATGCCAATATTGCTCATGAATTTACTCATCGGTTTGGCGGTTGGTGATATTGAGTCGGTGCGACGTAATGCCCAGCTAAAGAGGCTGGCAATGCAGGTAAGTATTATCCACAGGAAGAAAAAATTCATTGAATGGTAATCATATTTTGTTTTTCCTTTCCGATTTTCTAGGTTGTTCTCCACACCGAATTGGAACGCAAATTACCCAAATTGTGGCTGCAAAAAATCGATAAAATGGAATTAATTGAATATCCAAATGAGACGAAAAGTAAATTGGGTTTCTTCGATTTCATATTGAGAAAATGGTTTTCGAATCCCTTTACCGATGACAGTAAGTAAACTGGAGAATTTTTAGCATTACAAATATTTTGATGTACCACACACATTTTATCAGAGTCTAATGTGGCGCCCAACGTGAGATGGAATATTATGTTGACCGCTCTTAGTGAGAAATGAAGTGAAATTAAATGAAGGAATGTTTCAAAATAAATATTAATGTCGCTCTAAGCCAATAACACGTACATAGAGAATTTGACTAAATGTGGCGCCCAACGTGAGGCGCAGTATCAATTTGACTACTCCCAGTTAGAAATAAATTAAAAAAATGTTTTTTCACAAGCTTCAACATAAAAATTATAGGCGAAAATATTGTTTCGCTTATACTGGCGCCCAATGTGAGGTTAAATATTTATTTGAATTCTCCAACTAGAATGACAAGATTTTGTTTCACCTCCTTGAAAATTAAGAATTTGAGAAGCGATGAAAGTATTTCTATTTGGCTCTCAGTCTAATAACAATCACATAAAAAATTTAACGGTATTGAATATGGCGCCCAATGTGAGATATGAAAATAATTTGGGAGTAAAATTATATATTCCACTTCATGTTGTGCTCAGTTGTCTTACATGCTTCAAAGTAAAAATTAATTCCATCCGATCCTATAACACTCACATTGAAAATTTGACTGAACATGGCAACCAACGTGAGGGGGAATATTATTTAAGTCCTCCAAGTTAAAAATGATCTGCTTTAAAGTTGTTTTTATATACGAAAATATTGTTTCGCTTATACTGGCAACCAATGTAAGGTTAAATATTTATTTGAATTCTCCAAATAGAATGAAAAGATTTTATTTCACCTGCCTCAAAATTAAGAAGACGACAGCATTTATCTGTAGCTCTCATCCTATTAACAATCACATAGAAAATTTAACGGTATTGAATGTGGCGCCCAATGTGAGGTGAAATAATAATTTGGGGGTAAAATTTATATTCCACTTTATGTTGTGCTCAGATATTTACTTTAAAATAAAAATTAATGTCACCCAAATCCAATAACACTCACATAGGATATTTGACTGAATGTGGCGCCCAACGTGAGGGGGAATATTATTTTGAGCAATAGAAAGAAAAACAGCATTTTCACCTGCTTCAAAATTAAAATTAGACGCGAACATAGCGTTTTGCTTTGGCTGACGTCCAATAGGAGGTTGAATATTAAGACTCGTCCCAATAGAATGAAAAAATGTTGTCTCACCTGTTTCATAATTAAAAAAAATGAGAAGCGACGACAATATTTCTCTTTGACTCTCAGTTCAATAACAATCACAAATAAAATTTAACTGTATTGAATGTGGCGCCCAATGTGAGGTGAAACAAGTAAAAAAGCTGTCAGTTCGTGCGGATCGAAGTTTGAATACCCTCCACCATTTGGAACGAATTTGGCTTTTTTCAAAAAATAGAATCGAATTTGGCTTTTTTCAAAAAATAGAATCCGTTAAAAATTCTGTTAAAATCTTAAAAATACCGAATGTAGCCGTTATATTAGGGTCTATGCGACGGCGTGGACCTGGCAACTTTGTCATAAGCCATTACAACATTCAAATGCGAAACTTGAAAAAAATTGGTGAATAATGGACATAAAGTCATCAAAATACCGAATATAGGGAGGTACCTGGTTCTGCACAGACAATTTTCTGTCATAGGCCGTAGTATCTACTAAGAATTTCGAATACCAAATTTGAAACAATTCCGGTGAATAATGTCGCTAAAATCATCAAAATACCGAATATCGAGAGGTACCGTTGTATGGGGGCTATACGAAGACGTGGACCTGCACAGACAATTTTCTGTCGTAGGCTGTAGTATCTATTACGAACTTGGAATACCAAATTTGAAACAATTCCGGTGAATAATGTCGCTTAAATCACCAAAATGTCAAACATAGGGAGGTACCGTTATAGGGGGACTATACGAAGTCGTGGATCTGCACATACAATTTTCTGTCATAGGCTGTAGTATCTACTAAGAATATCGGATACCAAATTTGAAACAATTCCGGTGAATAATATCGCTAAAATCATAAACATACCGAATATTGGGAGGTACCTTTATATGGAGACTTTACGAAGACGTGGACCTGCACAGACAGATTTCTATCTTAGGCTGTAGTACCCATTGCGAACTTGGAATACCAAATTTTAAATAATTCCGGTGAATAATGTCGCTAAAATCATGAAAATACCGAATTTCGGGAGGTACCTTGTTAGGGGGTCTATACGAAGACGTGGACCTGCACAGACAGTTTTCTGTCATAGGCTGTAGTATCCATTACGAACTTCAAATACCAAATTTGAAACAATTCCGGTGAATAATGTCGCTAAAATCATTAAAATACCGAATTTCGGGAGGTGCCTTGATATGGGGTCTATACGAAGACCTGGTTCTACACGGATAATTTTCAGTCATTGGCTGTATTATCCATTACGAACTTCAAAAACTAAATTTGAAACATTTCCGGTGAAGAATGTTACTTAAATCATCAAAATACCGAATATCGGAAGGTAACGTTATAGGGGGGCTATACCAAAACATGGACCCACTTGGCACATTTTCAATACCAAAAGTCCTGCAGACATAATAAAAATTTGAGTAAAATTTTATCAACGTACTTCATTTTGTTCGGAAGCTAGAGTGATTTCTATAGACGGACAGACTGATATATACTTTGTGGGGTCTAAAATGTAAAGCCATTGAAATTCCAAAAAGTGCAAGAACTTACACCGCAACAGAAAGAAAATAGACTCAAAAGAGCTAAAAAGTAGCTTCGCTTGGCCGAAAGTGGTGAACTGGCGAATTTGTTTTTCTCCGATGAGAACATTCGCTGTCCAGCAGTTTGTAAACAAGCAAACTGATCGTGTTTACTTGCCAAAGAGGTCTGCAGAAAATGTGCACCTTCGATTGGCCATCAGAACTCAAGCACCGGCCATGGTGATGGTGTGGGCCATCACCATAACAGCTCTCCGCTCATATTAATCAACCGTGGCATCGGAATAAATGCCAAATATTTTCGCGAAAATATTCTGGAGGCTGTATTAAAGCCTTGGAACGCAAACATTTTGGCCGCAGACCTTGGATATTCCAACAGGACCACCATCTATCAGCACGCGCTATCAGCACGCGCCACCCAAGAATGGTTACAAAATCAGTTTCTTCGCTTCATTTCCAGCGCACCAAGTGGCCACCAAAATCTCCGGATACCATTTCGTTGGACTATTGTGTCTGGAGTATTTTGGAAAGCAAGGTTGGCACTAAAAAATACCAAAGTGTCGATCACCTCAAGCAAGCGCTTCGCCGGGAATGGGCCAAAATACCGCAGAGCAACATTCGGGCAGCAGGTTTCATTGGCCGTTTGATGACCATAATTCGTGACAAAGGTGACCAATTCGAACAAATCTTAGCTGATTCTAAAATTTGATATTATTTCCGACATTTTTAGCTTTCATTCAATAAAATTTTTAGAAAAAATTTAAAAATTATGGCGTTTGACTTTGTTGCAGTTTTTTTTATCTCGCTCTGTAATTGTATTACAGACAAGTTGGAGACAAAACCTGTGCAGACAATACGACAGTATCTAAAGTGGCACCCAACGTGTCTTGGAATAGTTCCTTAACCCCTCCAACTTAGAAATAGACCGACATTCTTATTGCGATTTGGTTCTCTGGCCAATAACACTCACACTGAATTTTTAAAGGTATTTAATATGGCGCCCAACGTGAAGTAATATATTAATTTGGGTCTCTAAGTTATTAAACCTGCACCAAAACTAGAAAATAAAAAATAAAATAACTGTATTGAGTGTGGCGCCCAACGTAAACTCGAATATTAATTTGATTTCTCAGTTGCCTAACATGCTTCGATATTAAGAACAGCGTTTTTTTTTTTTTTGGCGCTCAGATCCATTCAATTTCTACTTTAAGAAATCTGGTCATTCGTTGTTATGCCCCGCATTGGGCGCTATATTCTACAATTACTTACTCCATTTCAGCCTCAATTCCTCACATCGAAACCTATTTTTGCGATATTATCAGATCCATTGCATTTTTACTTTAAGAAATCTGGTCATTCATTGCTATGCCCCACATTGGGCGCCATATTTTACAATTACTCCGCTGCAGCCTGAATTCCTCACATCGAAACCTATTTTTGCAACATTTTCTTGACTTCTATTTCAAATAAAATTAATCTCTTCACACCTTTTCTCCTTCCCCTTTTTTTTCCCCGGTAGGTTCCATGGACAACTTACAGTTCGACAACAGCGAAGATTATCTCAACAGTGAATTGGAGAAACATCGACGTAAATTGCGTGAAATAACACGCATACTCGACCAGCAGCATAAATTGCTGCGTTTGATCGTACAGAAAATGGAAATCAAAACCGAAGCCGATGATGTGGATGAAGGTGTGTCACCGAACGATTTGCGTGACAGCAATGGTCGCAGCAGCACAAGCAGTGGTTCACGTTGGACATCGCCACGCATACGCAACAAATTGAGAGCAGCATTAACTTTCAATAAGGGTATATAGGAATTAAGGAAACATAGAATGGTCGCAATGGAAATTGTTTAGATTTAGCGCGGGGGAACAACGGAATGGTATCGTAGATAATTCAAATATTTTTTTATAAGGAAAAGAAGAAAAAAAGTTATAATTTTTTGTAACTTTTAACTCAAGGAACAAAAAAGAAAAACAGAACAATTTTTTTCAAATGAAAAACTATTTTTGCTATTAAGAATATTTCGAGAAAAAACAAATAACAGATTAGTTATAGGGTATAGAGATAAAGGGTCACTGCAAATGTGACCGAATATTTTGTTAGGAATTTATCGGTAAGGTTTCATGAAGAATTTGAAAAGCGCAATTAATGATTTTAATTTGATTTGTTTTCAAAGTTAGGTAGTATTGAAAAATAGTCGCCAAAATATGAAAAATATGGCAGCTGATAAAATATTGAGTGGCAGCTTATGAATTCGATTTGAGTGAACACCAATTCCAGTAAATTTTCGAACCTATTTATGGTATGTCTGAATTAAGACAAAAATTTCTAACGTTGACAACGAGAGTTGGGTGTGATTATTTTTGTGAAAACGCCTAAAAGTATGCTTTAAAATTATAAAACGAAATGTGGAAAAAGAACTTTAAAGACAATGTGTAATCTGGCCCTTTTTCAATGGTGTGCCGAAAAATTGTACAACAAATCGTTTGTACGATTTTCAAACTCAATACGAAACGAGTTAAAAAATATCAGTCGGTTTTGCCGACAGATTTATACTCTCAGACAATTTTCGATTAGTTAAATATATATCTTTTTACTTCTGTTATGATTATTCAAATTGTTTACCCTCTATGGAGTAGGTTCCGAAGTAATGGGTCAATATTGTCCGTTTCGTATCGGACCTAAATAAACCTGAAAATGTTTGTATATACGAAATTTGAAGAGAGTTGGATGCTTATTTCGCTTTCTTTGAGCGTTTTGTTTTTCAAAATCTTAAACTCTATGTGGGAGAGGTACCAGAAGAAGTGGTCCGATATCTACCATGTTTACAACAGATCTTGTGTAGATGGAAACATTGAGATGTACCAAGTCTGAATGGAAGCGGATGTTATTTTCGCGTTTTATGAGCTTCATGAATATTCCAAATTTTGATCCTTTGTGGGGGAGGTACTGTGATGGTCCGATCTCTACCATCTTTATAACAGATCTTGTGTTGATGGAAATTTTGAGATGAACCAAGTCTGAATGGAAGCGGATGTTTATTTAGCGTTTTATAAACTTCATGGATATTCAAAATTTCGACCCTTTATGGGGGAGGTACTAGAAGGATTGTTCTGATATATCCCATTTTCATACCAGACGTTGAGTTAATAAAAATATTGTAATGTGTGTAATTTGAAGTAACCCGGATGCTTATTTCGATTTTTATAATCGCTTTGGTTATTCAAAACTTTGACCCTTTGTGTGGGAGGTACCAGAAGGAATGGTCCGATCTCTACCATCTTTATAACAGATATTGTGTTGATGAAAATAATGAGATGTACCAAGGGTGAATGGAATCGGATGCTAATTACGCGTTTTATAAGCCTCATGAATATTCAAAACTTTGAACCTTTGTGGGGAAGGTACCACATGGAGTGGACCGATATATCCCAATTTCAGATCAGACCTTGGGTTAATAAAAATATTGTGATGTGTGAAATATAAAGAGAATCGGATGCTTATCTTGGATTATATAAACGTTTTGGTTATTCAAAACGTTGACCCTTTGTAAGGGAAGTACCAGAAGGAATGGTCCGATCTCTACCATCTTTATAACAGATCTTTTGTCGATGGAAATATAAAGATGTGCGAAGTCTGAATGGAATCGGATGTTAATTTCGTGTTTTATGAGCTTATGAATATTCAAAAATTTGACCCTTTGTGGGGGAGGTACCAGAAGGAGTGGGCCAATACATCCCAATTTCAGACCAGACCTTGGGTAAATAAAAATATTATGATGTGTGTATTTGGAAGACAATCGGACTCTCATATCATATTTTATAAGATTTATAATTATTCAAAATTTTGACCCTTTGTGGGGGAGGTACTTGATGGAGTGGACCGATATTGTCCATTTTCACACCTAACCTAGTATTGGTGCAAGTAATAGGATTCGCAAAGTTGGAGCAATATCGGATTATCCTTTCTCTTTCTATGAGGTAATTTATTTTCTTTGAAAATGTCGATCTTTTGTGGGGGAGGTACCAGAAGGAGTGGACCGATATTGTCCATCTCCGAACTCGATTTAAGTCTGATAATAATATTACAATGTACCAAGTTTGGAACAAATCGGCTACTCCCTTCGAGAGTTATCGTGCGCACCAGCCAGCCAGCCAGATAGACGGTCGGACATCGCTAGATCGACTCCAAATGTCCTGAAACGGATTTGGTCGTCCAAAGAGACATAAGGTCTAAAACCGTTATTTCGATGAGGCATGTTTTGGCCCTATAAAATGATATATACCCTCTCTAGCCAAATGACTGAGGGTATAAAAATAGTCATCATATCGGGTATATGCCCTCACTACGTCTAGTGTCATCGCTACGGTGTGTGTGTGTGTCATCGTTATGATTTGTGTCTACGCTTGTTGTGTGTCCTCGCCGTACTCTTCATATGACTCACAAGATGTCGCCATATGATTTTTTTCCTCCAAATTCTGTTTCTATTCCCATCTTCGCTTCAAAACTTTTCCACCAGCTTTGTTTTTTGGAAATAGCTTGTACACCATATTTTTACCACCATTATCTGGGGGGATTAATTTAGTGTGTTTAGGTATTGGGTTTCTAACCCTTGGAAATAGATTCTACACCATAATATTTTTCACCACTATTATCTGGCTAGATTAATTTTGTGTGTTTGTGTATTCGGATTGGGTTCCCAACCCCCTTCCCTTACGTGGTACATATTTAACCATAAGTCAGCTTCCCCTCATAACATTGAACTTTCATCCCCAATCGTTGTGATGTTTTGATTTCATTTTCTCACATACAACTGGGTTCATTGGCTTCACACTTAACTCACACACGACAGATAATTGCATAGTTCCCGCTACCATTCATATGCAGTGTAAATAATTACAAGTCCAGTCGCTTTTTCTGGATATGATGATGATTGAGGGCTACGCACCCTTAATGTGTGTGGTGTTACAATAAATATAAATTGGGGAGTACAGTGGTTTGAGGGAATTTAACTACAAAAAAAAATATTGAAAATTACCTCAAAGTTGTAATGATGTGGAAATATAATTCATAAAAATTTTTAAATTTCTTGATATTGAGAATCTTCGCGATTCTAGAGACTAGCTTAGAGAGACATATTACATTTGAGCACGAGGCATAATTTCTAACAGCAGCTCCATCTTCACAGAGGAATCATTCTGCATTTCCTGTAGACAAAAGAAAGGAGATTATGTAGAATAAAGTTGAGGTACTGTTGCGAATACTTACATTATTTCCCTCAGAAAAATGAGTAGACATGAGGTCATAGATTATAATTCATCGGAATAATCATAAAAATGAAAATTTCTTCCTCATGAAATAAAAAGAAACATATTTAACTACGAGAGGAATATGTTTCCTTTTAGTTTTTGTCTCTTTGGCTTCTGATCCTGTAAGAGAAAAACTCTTTTAATTGATATACAGTGATTGTTAGGCGAACTTACTATATTTTCAAACTCATCAGAGTATATAGCTGGAATTTTAGACACCGAAATAGCGGGTCCCAATAATCTTTATTACTTTATTATTATTTTTATTATTTCGTAGGATGATTTTTAACAGCTCCTCCATTCAGAGACTTTTGGACTATTCTGCCCGTCCTGTAAGTAAACAAGTAATAAAAACATTAAGTTCGGTCGACCGAACTTTTAATATACTCTACCTTTGGGTAAAGAAAATATTTTTATATAAAAGTATCTGAATTCAAACGTGTTTCAAAAATCTATAGATTGGGTGAGGCCGTTGTATGGTTGCCATACCAAAACAAAAACTTCAAAGGACAATTTTATACTTCAAGGATTGTCATCTACCAAATCTTCTTAAATAGCTAATTTGAAACAATTTCGTGGGTAAATGTGACAAGGATTATCAAAATACAGAATTTCGGTGGGTATCGTTATAAGTGTGCTGTAGGAAAACGTGGACCTAAATAAACGTGGACCGCAGCTGGAAACCATTATGAACTACAAATACCAATTTTTAGAAAAATCCGTGAAAAAATGTGGCGAAAATTAGAAAAATACTGATTATCCGGAGGTACCATTATGTGGGGGCTGTGCGAAAACGTGGACATATACATAGCTACCGCAGCTACAACTCATTATGACCAACAAATGCCAATTGTTAGACAAATCCGAAGAAAAAACTGGCAAAAATCCTCAAAATACTGAATATAGGGAGGTACCGTTACATAAAGGCTATACCAAAACTTGGACATATCCATGCAATGTTTCGCCACCGGAGCTAGAACCAATTATGACCAACAAATACCAATTTTTAGACAAATCTGTTCGAAAATGTGGCAAAAATCATCAAAATATCGAATGTGGGGAGGTACCATTATATGGGGGCTATACCAAATGGTGGACATATACATACAATATTTCGCCACACGAACTAGGACCCATTATGATTCAAAAATACCAATTTTCAGACAAATCCGTGGGAAAATGTGGCGAAAATCATGAAAATACCGAATATCGGGAGGTACCATTATATGGGGGCTATACCAAATCGTGGACCTATATGTACAATGTTTCGCCACACGAACTAGAACCCATTATGATTCACAAATACCAATTTTCAGACAAATCCGTTGGAAAATGTGGCGAAAATCATCAAAATACCGAATATCGAGAGGTACCGTTATATAAGAACTATACCAAAACGTGGACCTATACATCTCATTTACAATACCAACCATCCTAGACACAATACAAATTGTTCTGCTAAATTTTGACGCTTTACGTCAAATAATGTGAGCTGTATCGTGATTTCAACAGACAGACGGACAGACAGAGAGACGGACATCGTTAAAGCGACTTAGAATTTTATGTTGATTATGAATATATACATACTTTATAGGGCCTACGATGAATATACACTCCTTTCCCAGGTGGAGGGTATACAAAGGTTCATTTATACGAAATTATAGTTGAAGATACCTATTTTCCTCAGACAACAAAGTTTCCTCCAGGGTATATAGTTGAAAAGCAGAATATGGATACATAGACTATCATTTATTTTTTTTTTCCTCCCCAATATTCCATATAAAGACATATGAACTCTCTTTTTTTTTTTTTCTTTCCATATCGTAAATTGCAGTTCAATATCATCGAAACCACTGTGCCAGA